TGGAGGCAGGGCCGGTAGGGGAATCCAGCCTAGAGGGACCAGTCGCTGTTGAGGGGCGGGCTTGGGGAGACAGTCTTGAAGGTGATGAGCCACCTCTGGGGGGTGGGGGAGGTCTGTGGTTGAAAGTCTTGGGGGCGGGTCCTGTGTGTGAGTGTCCAGTCTTGCCAGGGCAAGGCAGAGATCCTCCTGCATGGGTTCAGCCTGTAGTTGAGGAGCCAGCTGTAGGGTGTGGCATGTGGAAGGGGCAGGGCTTCAGAGGGCAGCCCAAGTGAAATATGAGGATAAAGAACAGCCTGGGGCTGGCTTGCTGGGTGGGGTGGGTCCCTCACAGGTAGAACTAGTAAGCAGGGGCCCTCGGGCAGAATTAGCCAAAACACAGTCATTAGCACACTGTGTCCCTCCAACTTCCTGTGGTGGGTGGAGCCATTAGAGGAATGTTGCGGGGAGGGTGGCGGGACAAGAGCAGAGGTTTGAAGAGGAGACCCTCTGCTTAGGAGCTTCCAGAAGGCAAGATCCACCAGATAGGACTGGGGAAGGGTCCTGGGGTAGAGGCAAGCGAGGATGCTGCTTATAGAGGTGGGGCGTCTAGGGCAGGTGTTCTGTTGGGGGCTACAGAGGGGAATCTGCTGACATGAAGCGTAGAAGTTTCTGGAGAGAAGGGACAGATTGGCTTATTATTTAAAGTAGGATCCACAGAGCCTCAGAATAACACCAACTACGGCAGTAATACTAATGGCTGATGTTAGCTGAGCACTTTGAGGCGACAGGCACTGTGCAAAGAGTTTTACTACATAATTTCATTCAATTCTCACAACCCTGTGAGGTAGATACGATTTTTATCCCCATTTTACAGATGAGGAAACTGAGGCCCAGAGAGATGAGGCCACTTGCCCAGGTCGTATGGCTTATTGACTCAGCCCTTACCTTCCAAATCTCCCTGGGCCCCTCAGGATCCCTGACAGACCTCCCTCTGCCTGCCCAAGGTTTTGGGGTAACTCCCTTCTCTCCCCCTTCCCACCCTGCAGGTGATGCGGATGACTCTGAGCACCATGACCTGGCGGCGAAGGGAGATGGTACGCTGGCTGGTCAGCTGTGCCACAGAGATCGGTGAGAGCTCCCGAGGGGACCCGCCACCCATCTCCCCGTGGTACCAGGAGGGCACAGAGAGAAGCAGAGACTTTTCTCTGGCCTCATCCTGTGCTCAGGGCTAGGCCGAGAGGGAATGTCAGGCAGATGGGTGGCGGTGGGGACCGTGATGCACAAAAGCTCGGAGTCTGGCCACGTTAAAGTGGCTTGGAAAAGGGCCACTGGCACCAAAGCTTAACCTCTACACACACGCCTGCATGCACGTGCACGTGTACACACACACACACACACACACACATACACAAAGTGCTATCACAGGGAGAGGAATCTGTTCATGGCACATGGGACAGGAGCACTGAGCAGGCTTAGGCCAGGGGGACCAGTGAGAGGATGGCCACCAGCTCAGAGACAGCTATCTAGGCATGAGATGTGCATTGCTTCAAACGTAGGGAATAAACCCTTGGATGCACATCCGTATCCCTGCCCCCTATCCTGACCAATGTCACCCACTCATGTTCCCTAGGCCCACAAGCCCTGATGAACATCATGCAAAACTGGTACTCCTTATTCACGCCAGTGGAAGCGGCTACCATTGTGGCAGTGACAAGCACCACTCATGCCACGCTGCTGCGGCTGCAGCTTGATGCGCCCCGGCGGGAGGAGCTCTGGGCCTGCGCCCGCACCCTGGCCCTGCAGTGCGCCATGAAAGACCCGCAGAACTGCGCCTTGCCCGCGCTCACCCTGTGTGAGAAGAACCATGCAGCCTTCGAGGCGGCCTACCAGATAGTGCTGGATGCGGCTGCCGGTGGCCTGGGCCATGCCCACCTCTTCACTGTGGCCCGCTACATGGAGCACCGTGGCCTGCCACTGCGGGCCTACAAGCTGGCCACGCTGGCCCTGGCTCAGCTCAGCATCGCCTTCAACCAGGACAGCCATCCCGCTGTCAATGATGTGCTCTGGGCCTGCTCCCTCAGCCACTCCCTAGGCCGGCACGAGCTCTCTGCCATTGTCCCGCTCATCATCCGGAGCATCCACTGTGCCCCCATGCTCTCTGACATCCTGCGCCGCTGGACCCTCTCAGCGCCTGGCCTGGGTCCCCTAGGGGCCCGCCGGGCGGCCAAGCCAATGGGCACTGACCGGGCGCCGCTCTGCCAACTCCTAGACGCTGCAGTGGCAGCCTACATCAACACCAGCCACTCCCGCCTCACGCACATCAGCCCACGGCACTACGGTGACTTCATTGAGTTCCTGGGCAAGGCCCGTGAGACTTTCCTTCTGGCACCTGATGGGCACCTTCAGTTTGCCCAGTTTTTAGAGAACCTCAAACAAACCTACAAAGGCAAGAAGAAGCTCATGCTGTTGGTGCGGGAACGTTTTGGCTGAGGGGCAGCAGGCAGGTGGTGGGAGGGGTCCCCCATTGCCCCTGCCTCTGTGGCACCCATTCTGCATCAGGGGCCTGGACTGGAGGCCCATGTGACATCTCAGTATTAAGTCAGGGAAGAAGCCCAGCTGGAGCTAGGTGGTCTTGCTTGCTGTCCCCCCAACCCAGCTAGATGTGGGGGAGTGGTGTCCTGTCACATGCGTGCCTAGGAGTGTGTGAACGACTGCGAGATGTGAGGATCAGAAGCCATACCACCACCCAGAGGACTGGAAAGGGGTGTGTGCTTGGGTAGCAGTTATGACCCTGCCTTGTGTACCCCAAAAGCAATAGGCAGACTACCCCTTCCCAAACTCACAGGCCTGATGTGGGCTCCAGGAGAGCTGGGAGGCAGGACTTTCCCTAACCAGCTCTCAAAGTCAATGTAGCAAACCCTCCTGGTGCCCCACTCTGGGTGCCCATGGGACTTGTGTTAGGGTATCTAAATCTCCTTTCGTACCCTCCCTTCACTGCCTCAGGGGCCCCCTTCCACAGTCCTGTACCTGCTCCAGGCTGTCCAGCTGGGACCAATGGTTCTCCCCCTACTGAAGGATTTGAAGAGGCCTCAGGCCTTGGCCACATACCTCACCCCCCACCTGGTCAGGACTCCCATTCCTGTGGGTGCCAGGGTCTCGGGGCAGGCTGGGGGGGCCATTGCTGTCCCTTCCCCCTACCTGCTAGTCACTGGACATACAACTCAGGAACCGAGCCAGGCTCACGCTGTCCTCCAAACCCGGTGTCAGGGGAGACAAGCACAAGTGAGCCAGGGACCCACGTCCCCAATCTGGAAAGGAAAGAGGCTGGCATGTGGGCATTTTCTGGCTCTGTCTTGTCTCTCCCTTTCTCCTCCTCCTCCCTGCTCTGCCCCTTCACCTTACTCTCCCTTTCCACGTTTCTCTCAATTTAACCTGCTTTCCTATTCGCATCTCTTAAGTCTCAGCTGCTGTCTCTTTGGCCTCCCCACCCCCACATCCCTCTATCTTTTCCCTTCTTGTGATTAAGGACAAAAGATCACATCATTTTGTAACTTTTTTTTTCTATTTATTGAACCGTATATTGTATTTCCTTTTTCCTTTTGGTTTTTTAAAGCATGAACACAGCTTTTTCTTTTGAGACTAAGGTGCGTGCCCCACCCCCAGAGAGAGCCCCTCCATTTTCCTTCCATAGAAAATCTCGAGCCTGGCCTGTGGCACAGCTTCAAGTGAGGACAGAATGGGAGTGACTGCTGTTTTTATCCAGTGGTAATAGGGTGCATAATGGCAGGCAGGGTGGAGAGGTCACTATGAGCAAGTCCTCCACTGAGTGCTTTACACTTGTCATGTTACACTTGTCACAATAGCTCTATGAGTCTGTAGGATCATTCCCATTTTACAGACGAGAAGACTGAGACTCCAAAGGTTAAGGAAAGGGCACCCATTTTAGGAAGAGAAAGCTTGATTTAGTACCTTGAAAGGCCGCTGCCCACCCCAGGCAACATGGCCCTTGCACCGCTGGGAATGACCACTAGGGGGTGCCCTGGCTACAGCCCACTGTTGGGGGTACTTGTCTCCAAGTTGCTGAGCTGGAGACGCGGGGGAGGGGTCGCACGTGCTGCGTGCAGCTGGATAAGGAAGACACCCCTGCCCAAAGCTGGAAACCCTGGGTTTAAGCTAGGCCTTGGTGTGCGTGGTCGATGGGGGCGCTGCCAGAGCTTGTCTGGGCTCCTACACCGCGGATGAGGCTCCCAGTCTCCAAATAGAGTGGGGTCTAGGGGACAGCAAGAAGGCCTCCGATTGCCTTCTGTTGCTCCCCAAGAAGAAAGACCTCTCTCGAGACCTTTCCTTTAGGGATTGACGGACTGCATGGGTCACACTCAGGGCCCGGGCAGGCGAGGACAGGGTTCCCTGAGAGGCTGGGCGGGGCAGGCTACTAGAGGGTGCCGAGGGTGGGGCTTCGGCAGTATTGGGCACTGATTGGTTTGTAGCACCACCCTGCGCTCGAGGGGACCAATTGGAGACGGCCCCACCTCTTGTCCGCCTGTTCCCTCAGGTATGTGAGGGTTGATCCAGACCCTGCCAGCACGCCCTTAGCACCGCCCAGAGGCCTGGGAGGGTGGAGGTAGCCCTTGTGGTCGGTCCCAGCCACCTCCAAATGCCGTTCTGAGACCCGAGGCTCCCCTTACGGTACCCACGTAGTTCTCAAACTTATTCACAAATGTCCCCCTCAAGTACAAGTTCTCCACTAGCATTCTCAAGATACCAGGCACCCCAAATCTTCCCCCCAGGCCTGACACTCCCAAATGTCACTAGCTCAAGACCATCAGGTCCCAGTTATCTCTGAATGCGCAGCGTTTCCCCCAGGGTCATTCCCCACCCATACCTGAGGTTGATTTCTATCCCCCCTTGGTCTCTGGCATGTGGCATTACTCGTAATGACCCCATCTAGATCCCTCCCAGAAAGGCTTTCTCTGTCACATCAGCCCAGAAAGTCCCTCCAGTCCAGGGTTTCCTTCAGGGTTACCTCACAATCCCAGGACACCCCACAAGGTCACCTTTCCACACCCAAGGAGCCCTCTCAGCCCCTGTGATTAAATTGCCTCCTTCCTTAGGACAGGTGTGGGGGGGGGCGGGGGTTCTGTGATGTCAGGAGCCCAGGGTGCCTGGACAGTAAGTTTGGGTCAATCCACCCTCCCTACCCAAAAAGCATTCAGGGATGGGAGGCAGGAATGAATCACAAACCACTAGACCTTCAGGAATGAGGTTTGGGGGGGCAACTTTTATTCGACTGGACAGCAAGCATTATACACAGCACTGATTCTGCCCCAAGCTTGTCTACCACTGGCCCTGGGTGGGGAAGGGGTACACTGGGCCAGTCCTGACAGCCTGGGGGCTTCACTCTGCTCTTCCACACTCTGGGACCACCCCAGGACTGAGCAGGCCTGCTTGTGTCCCTTTGGGGTCTCTAAGAGCTTCATTACCCACCCTGTGTGCGGGCCATGGCTCCTTCCCCAAGTTAGGAAGCTGCAGAACCCACGGCAGAGGGGCCAGGCACATTCAGGTCAGACCGCCTGGTTCCGGAAGCCTGGAGTTGGCATTTAACGGTCTGGGGGCCCAAGGCAGTTTCCTCTTGGGTAACTGGCTGCTAGGGAGGTGGGGCCTGGCCCATGCCCCCACCAGGCTTGGGAGAGGAGGGGCCAAGTCTCCAGGCCCAGAGGGTCACCCAGGTGGGGACACAGTTTTTTTTTTTCATAGAAGAGCTACCTACCCCTCTGCCCCCTGCTTCTAGCCTCCTTGGAAGCACAGCCCAGCTGGAGGTAGGACTGGGGGTGGTCCCCAAGTGCAGAGTTAGGAGAGGTGACCTGCAGACAGCTGGGCCCACCCACCGCATCTGCCCCATCCTTCCCCAAGTCCCTTCTCCAGACACAGCTCTAGGTCTGGATTCTCATTTCCGCCCCCCGACCCCGCTCCCGTCATCAGTCAACCCAGGGAGGGTGGGGGCCATAGGCTCTGA